TGATGGTGAGCAGGGGTGATGGTGAGCAGGGGTGATGGTGAGCAGGGCTGATGTCTGTCTGCTGCCCTGCTCTCTGGTTACCTGTGAGCAGATGGCAGTCAGAGCAGGTGAGACTGGGAGCTTGAAGCTTGGGAGAGCTCTATGGATTTGACATTTCCTGATCCCTTGTCTTGCGAACAGTAAAGACCAAGGGGATGGATTTCACCGTGTAAGGGAGGCCGACCTGGAATGCGTGATTCTGTGAAACTCTAGGGTAACGACCTGTGTTCTTTGTCTCTCCTGCCCCTGGGGTTCCAGCACGTGTGGAGTGAGAGCGAGGATTGCCTGCCCTTCCTGCAGCTCGCACAGGATTACATCTCTTCCTGCGGCAAGAAGACGCTCCATGAAGTCTTGGAAAAAGTCTTCAAGTCCTTCCGACCTGTAGGTGCTGCCTGGCTCCGGACCCCTCCCTGTCCCCCTCTGTAGGGCACCTTGATAGCAGGGATGGTCGGGAAAGAGGCAAACCCGGGACGACGGTTTTTCCCTTGTCTACTGTGGGCCCTGTGGTATAAAGGAAGCGGGCAGTGGGGAGGCCAAGGGTGGGATGTGGCAGGGCCATTTGGTTCAGGAATGGTGACTCTTTCTAGCATCCCTTGAGTTGAGAAGTACTGGGAGGGTGGAAGCAAACAGAGCCTTTGCCAGGCATTTCTCAACCGGTAGACCCCAAATGCACCTGGAAGTAGTGCAGGTTTGTTTGTTTGTTTGTTTGTTGGTTGGTTGGTTTGTTGGTTGGTTGGTTTGTTTGTTTTATCATAGCTATACCTGCATCAGGAACATGGCCAGAAATCTAGGCAAAGCTCATCCAGGTTTGTGACCCTGGGGAAGGGTAGCATTGTTGATTCTTTTCTCATTTCAGTTCTCAAAGCACTTCAAAAAGCTTTCGTCCCCTCTTGGGACTTAGGACTCTATCAATGACCTGCTTTCATGGGAACTGATGGCGTGTGAAGTTTATACTCGCCCCAAGCTTGGTGATCCTTTCCCTCTCTCTCCCAAAGCCATGCCTAGCATCACGCCATGTCCTGCCCTGGTTTGCTTCCCTGCCCACTGTGGATGTAGTCCATGCATTCAGTGCTGTGCTGTGGAATTGCTGTCTCTACTTCTCCACTAAGCATCTCAAGCTTGTTTTATGGTTCAGGGAGGTTGGCTACATAACTGCCTTTCTGACATCTCAGGGTTGGTAAGTGTTTTGCATCTTTCGTGCCTCCTGACTGGCACTTCTGGTATCCCACAGTTGTGTGTGGCATTGTCTAAATGCCCAAGATGGCAGTACCTAATCCAGAGAGGACTTTGTTGGTGCTGTCAGGCCTTGGGTCTTCAATACTTGATTTGTAGTTCACAGATACTCTAGGTGATGAAAAGATGGGGTTCAGATCTTGTCTCTTTTAGCTCATCTTTGTTCCAGGAATATGGGCCTTTAGGGGGGCTCCAGGTTAAAGTGGGGACCCTGTTGTGTTCTGTTCCTATAGAGGCTCTAGACTTTGACTCCCTTCTTCATAGATCTTAGAACAGTCTTTAAAAAAATACAATATACTTTCTTGCTTTCCCAGTCAGGTTAGGCCAACCTCTCTGGCTTCCAAGGCCTCGCTATCCTTAAGAGTCTATTTCCGTACTTGATGTAAAATGATGAAAATGGCCTAGCTGTTCTCAGGAGAAGGGTTGTCCTAATCATTCAACCCACCATCATGAGAAATGAAATCTCAGTGGCTCTTGTCACATTCTCTTATTTCAATCACCTGTCTGGCCTTCCAGTCTTTTCCTTGCTAATTTTCTAAGCTACTTTGGCCTGTCAGGTGTGGTGAATGCTCGCCAACTCATTTGGACCATTTCCTACTCTGGTCTAGCACAGGAACCAGGTGGTAAACATTGTGTTTCCCCTTGGGGAAGACAAGATAAGCAAGTACACCTCGGTGTGCCCTTAACAGGTGCCAAGACAGCAGGAAACAAACCAGGGATGAGGCTATGCATGCCTTTAATCCCAGCACTTAGGAGCCAGAGGCAGGTGGATCTCTGTGAGTTTGAGGCCAGCCTGGTCTATGAAGCAAGTTCCAGGACAGTCAGGGCTGTCACACAGAGAAATCCTGACTCACAACAAAAACAACAACAAAGAGTCTTCAGTGAGAAGGGGATCTTGGAGTCTGCAATGATCATAAGGGATGGGGGTTCCCAGGCACAAAGACTAGCAGATCTGAAAGCCTAGGGTACAGGAGGCATCCACGTAGCTACAAGGGTTTGGAGTTGGGAACCTGAGCACAGTGAGAAGGGAGTCCAGGAAGACTTCGGGTCTCGTAGCTGTGGAAGGACTTGGTTTTACCAGTCTGCAGAGCCTGAAGAAATTAGAGCAAGAAGGCCATGCTGATATCCTCTTTTGAGAGGTTCCCTCTTGCACCCTAACGTGCTCAGATTGACTAGCAGCAGCGAGAGCCAGTGCTATCTTCCAGGCTGATGTGAGGGCAACTCAAAAACAGCGGAAGTGGAACAAGAGCCTCGGGTGCTGGAAATGCCTGGAAAGTAGACCCAGCTGGCCTTGCTGTTGGGTTGAAGTAGAGTATGAGAAAATGAGAGAAAGATGGAACCTGAGTTTCTTGGCCATGCAGTGGAGGAACGTCACAGTGGTAGACTGAGGCTGGGGGGCGGCAGGAGGAGACGCATGGGCCTGGTGCTGTTAGAATGTCGTTTTGTGGGACTGGGAAGTCAGGGGGGAACCTTGTGTCTCTCGCCCCCTGCTTTCACCTCTATGTGAAGTTATGGAGTTTTGGGCTTAGAAAGAAGGCCTAGGCAGGATCTGGCTGCTGCTATTCTAGTGGAGAGAAGACCTTATCCAGTTAGGGGGATTGCGAGCCAGGAAGCCAGCACCACATACCCTGCGTGTCAGTGGCCACATGGCTGCATCCCCAAGATTGCCTTCACCTGTACCTTCAGATAGCTGCCTTCTGGGTGTGCAGACGTGGGACTTTAAAATGTCACTGTGCCCTCTTCCAACCACTGCCCTGTGCAGTCTCTCCACAGAGATAAGGGCTTATCTTGCCATAGCCTTTTGATGATGCGATGATGCCGCACGGAGCCTCAGGCAGCCCCTGTTTGCGTGACCTTGCTAAAGCTGGGCACGTGGCATCTACAGCCTAAAGAGCCGTATCACCTCAAGGCCATGCCACCTCTGTGGACTGCACTCCCTTTCTCTCGCCTGCACTTCCTACACGATAATAATGTCACAAAGCCTCGCTCCACACACACTGAAATCTCCTCACACACTGACATCTGATTGGATCTCTGAAGAAAAAGTTACTCTTATTCCTTTCATCCAACCTACTTCTTTTTTTTTTTTCTCCTCATTTATCGTATTTCCCAGAAAACACACTAAGCATCCATAGCCAAAGCCTTGCAAAGGATAGCAAAGCATACTTGGCTTTCCCATCTGGGCACTGGTTAAGAGCAGCAGTGGCCATAGAATAGGGAGAAGCCTTTAGGCAGAGCCTGTATTGGATCAGGCATCCTGTGAGATTCTGTGCAGGACGAGCGGAGGCACCCACCCCATCAACTCATTCCACTCTGTGGGTTCTTGGGGAAAATATTTCTGAGAGGTTGTTTGTGAGCATGTACTTCAAGGTGCTTGTGTAGGTTCCTTGGGTTCAGACCCCACTTCTGTTTCTCGGGTTCTCCATTTGTAGGTGAGAAAACTAAGCTGCTAAATATCCATAGCAGCAGCCCAGTTTGGCTAGGGGTGACCTCTGTGCAGAGTAGGCACCAAACAGATGCTTCAACGGCTGTGTACTGCTGTGTACTGCTGTACCACGCAAAACACAGGTGCAAAGAGTTGGTCCAGCCTGGTGAAGCATTATGTAGTGAATCTAGGGTTTTGGTAGTGAAAAAATATCTTGCTAAGTGATTTCAACATTGTTAACTGAAATATATGGCTGGATAAGGAACTTTTCAAAGGTAATGGAAGGGCCAAGAAAAAGATTATCAACCCTGGTTTTTGCAAAGTAATAAACTCACCATACATGGTAGGTGACGGTCTATAAAGAAGATAAATAAATGTACACTTGGAGGCACATACCGAAGAGCTTCCGGGTGGTGGGTGAATTTTCTTTTCTTTTCCCTATTCTCTAAGAGATCTATCATATTCATATAATCATAAAACATATATTTTTAGAAATCTGTATAATTTTCATGTGTCAAAAATGCTCAAAATTAGGGAGGGACTCCCTGAGGCTCAGAGTGCCAGGCGGTGCCCTCCTGCAGAGATCCGCTGGACACATTGACCACAGGAGAGCTGACCCAAGCAGGGCCCATCTTGGCTGCCTGGCTTAGAATCCATCGAGATACCCCAGGGAGGGGAGACTGCTCTGTCCCTGACTATGTGACTTCTTGCAGTTTTCTTAACCTTTGTGTTTCCATCTTTAAAATAGAGCCAGCTTCTGTTTCACTGCCCCGTGGATCCATGGGCAATGTCTAGAGCTGACCGTGAACACAGACTGTCAAAGTCCAGCTGCCCTGGGATGGGGGCATGGACTGGATGTAATAGTCCATCTTTCTCACCTAGAGTGACCCCCATTTCTCTCCACTGGAAGGGCCTCCGGCCTCATAAGGAAGGATCTCTGGCCCGACTCTCCCCTCCTCACTGGTGGCACACAAATGCAGATTCCATGGCCACTCACTATCGCCACCCTAGAGTATCACTGCTCTGGCAATGACTTCAGAGACCACTGATAAATGTGGACAGTCATTTTCCTCACTTAAGTGACTCCCGGGTGACTGTTGCTGGCCTTCGCATGAGAGACCTCGATAATGGGCCAGGGATATCGATCCTCATGAATGACGACCTTGCCAGTCATTTCTGCCTCTTTTCGTCCCTTATTTGATGACAAATCTCAGACGTGATTGCTGGTAAGCAAGCAGAGCAGGAAAGGAGGGGGGGGGGTTTCCTAATGCCAGATTCCCCCCGAGTTACATGAACATGAAGGATTGCTCTTCTCTCAGCAAGTTGCCTGCCCCTCCCCCGCCCCCAGAGGTCTGGTCCTGTCGCTGTGCCTATGGCAGTGTTGAATGCTGTTTGAGCTTATGTTGCCGTAATGGCGCAGTCTGGCCTTTGTTCCTGCGGCTCTCATGGCTTCTTTCTCCCAGTCTTCTTTCTGAGGAGGCTGTAACACTGTTTTTTTTTTTTTTCCCTCAAGAAGGGGTTCTTAACGGAAGAATACTCCCCTGAGTCTGGACACTGACCTGAGGGAAACAGTGTTTTTAGGTTGCATCCAGTGGCTCAGGAGCCAGTGATGACTCCACACAAGAAAATCCCTCATGGTCCAGACCACGGCCAGCTTTGCTTCTGCTCCTCCCACATGGTCAGTAGCCTTGACGAAACGGAAGAATCCCCTGGTGCTGGGCTTGCCTAAGTAGGACAGAAAGTCCAAGGAAAACATTGCCCATGTGGATTTAGAAATTTAGCTTTTCTGTATCTTTTGTTTTCTGCTCCTGTTATGGACATTCAAACCTTGTCATATTTTAGCCAGGCAGTGGTGGTGTACGCCTTTAGTCCCAGGGTTCAAAATGCAGAAGCAGGCAGATCTCCGAGTTTGAGTTTGGGGACGGACAGTGTCCCCTCTAGGGGCGCATCTGCCACTCTTGCCCGTTTGACTCTCATCTTGCATCGGCCTCTCCCTCCTAATATGAAGAAGACTGAAACCCAACATGAGTTTTAGGATAAACAGTTTCTGAACCCCCCTCTCCGCAATGCTTTAGCCAGTCTTGCTGCCCATAGTGGGGCTTCTGGACCCCCTTAGAGCAAGTTAGAAATGCAGGGTTCCCTTGGGCTCACAGAGCCAGGGTCTGCATTGTAGGTAGTGTTGTTGGTGACTCAGAGACACAGTTAAGTGCGGGAAATGCTGCCTCTCCCTTGGAAGAAGTGTGCCGGGATGCCCGAAGTCCCAAGGATAAGCTATACACATCTTCCACCCTCTCGGTGTGTTTGTAAAATCTGTACCACGGACCCTTAGATGTCCAGAGCCACTATGAATGGCATCTTCTCTTCCCCACTCTGAAACCTCAGGGGCTGATCAGATTCACAGAGCGGAGGATGCTCCTGTCTCTAGGAAGGGCCTCCCTTGAGGCTGGCTCTCTGAGGCTAGAACTGTGTGCTTTGAAGTCATGGGGGTAGCTAGCGAGCCGAGCAGGGGAAGAGGTGTGGTTTGTGCCCGTCAGCCTGCTAGATCCATTTCAGCAAGGCGTGCTGAGTCCAGGAGGGGACTGAGAACCACTTATGCCATGGCTTGAATTAGGGTGAGTAACCCAAGCCTCCCGTGGGAAGGATCATTATAGATACATGCATGTACAAGCATGCCTCGGCTGTACCATTCTCACCCATGAATGTCATGGCTAACTACAGGTTCCCACTGAGCCTCAGAATCCTCCCGAACCCAGCACTCCAAGTGGCCAGTTGCCACCTCAGATTCATCAAATGGGCCGGATGCATTGACTCTTTGATACTTAGTGGTTTTTCGCTCTTCAGTGGTCCTGGGTCTCCTCTGCTGCGGTGGAGAGGATGTGGAAGCTGCTGCAGCAGCCCTGCTGTGACAGATACTGCGGCGTTTCTGTCACTGGCACTTCCATTCTGCTGAGTCAGCAGCAGCTCTTCAACTGAAAACTGACCGCCAGCACGGCCACCGTCTGCTTTCACTGTGACTAGCCATCTTCTCTCGCGGGAGGCAGTTTTAGCCTGTCTCTCATTAAAGTGTGAGAAGGAGACAGTGCTGACACAAAGGAGTTTCTCTAGTCTTCCCAGGACACAGGAGATTCTGGGGGCCAGGGCTGGACAACCTCTCCCTGCCCTTTCCTTCAAGGGAGCAGTAACTCTCTGGGACACCACCAGTCATGAGCTGGACAGGGGCAACACACATCTGCAGTTGGCCATGGCCTGCTAGGCTTGTGACCAGCAATGCTTCACAGATGGTTTTGCCCTTTCCTAAAGCTCTGAGGCTGTGAGTTCTAGAACTTAGAGTGTAGACCTTGCCTCAGTCGGGGCTTCTGACTTCCTGTTCCCCCATTTGAGTCACAGAGAGAGTGGAGGAAGGGCAGCAGGATGATTGAGAAGCCGTGTGAGGAATAAGCAGCCTACCGTTAATGTCTTAATTCAGCTAAAGTTTAGGTCACTGGGGCCCCTTAGTTAAGAGGCCTGAAGGTAACAAGTCTGGGGTCTCCGTATGAAGTCTTTTGATCGCTCTACTCAGTCGTTATGTACAAAAACCCAGGAGCCCCCAAGTCCACAGCTTTCTGCCAGCACACAAGTCTCAGTTCATATTGCTCACAACCGACTAGTGCTACTCAGTTTCTAATGAAACTACCGTGATCCCAGGGCCAGAGAGATGGCTTGGCAGTTAAGTGCTTTCTTTCCAGAGGACCTGAGTTCAATTCCCAGCACTCACACTGGACAGCTCACAACTGCCTATAATGCTAGCTCCCTAGGATCTGACACCAGCACTCGCTTGCCCGTAACCCAAACACGTACCTGCATACATACGCATACATAATTAAAAGTATTTCTCTGGAATTTGCCTTGTTTCCCAGATCATAATCCATAGAGGATTTGTGGAACATAGATGGAAAGGAAGCTGGGGAAATGGTTTAGAGCCTCTGTTGCTCTTTCAGGGGACCCAGGTTTGATTCCAGGAACTTACCCGAAGGCTCACGACCATCCTTAAGCCCAGTTTCAGGGGGTCTGATGCTTTATTCTGAGCTCTGTGGGTACTGTGCATGTACATAACGTACACACATACTGCCAAAACAGTCATATACATAAATACACGTCAAAGCATTTGTAAAGATGAAATGGAAAAAAGTTGTCCACAATCCCAGTCTTACAGAAACTCTTTATCCTCCTCATGCACGCACGCGCGTGCACACGTGCACACACACATATACACACTCACACACACTAAATGTTTACAAGAAATAGAAAGCACCAGCGAGATGGCTTGGTGGGTTGCAGTGCTTCCGGCTAAGGATGAGGACCTGAGTTCTCTATCTAGGCTTCACACGGTGGAAGGAAAGAACCAACTCTTGCAAATTGTCCTAGGATCATACGCATACTGATATAAGTGCATATAAACACACAAAATAAGTAAATGTAATTTTAAAAAAACCTCAATTTTGAATATATTTAATTACAGCCTTTCCCCCGTGCATCCATATGAGTTTTAAGAAAAGTTGTATCATAATTAAAATGTAATTTTATCATGTTTTTAATTTTATGTGCGTTTTATCATTACTTTTAAAATTCAGTGTTAAGTATAGGTAAGATTCTCTCTAACTAACATGCCATGAAATTTAACCCTTTGCTGCTGAACGTCCTAGTTGTCTTAGCATTTTTACCTATGTGCTACTCTTAATAAATACCCCCATGTATTTGGGGGAGAAAATAAACCAGAGGATTGATCTGGGGGCATTTCGAAGGCACATTAGCACTGCTCATGGTGTGATTCCCTAACATGCCGGCTACACCTCATACAGGTGTGGTTGGTGGACCTCTGTGCTTTGACATTTAAAAAATAACCTCTCTGAGGTACACAGTGAAATTGATAATCCATGAAGATTCGATGTGTCTCCTTATTAAATTTGTAAAAACTGTGGTGGTGGGGGAGTTGAGCTCAGGGATACTCTCGCTGTGTACAGACGAGTTTGGGTCCAGTGGCTTTGGTCTTCTGCCTGAAGTCCTGGCAGTCCTTACAGCTGTTGCTTCTTCTCTCTCTGTAGCTGCTGGGGCTTCCAGATGACGAGGATGCCTTTGAAGAGTACAGTGCGGATGTGGAGGAGGAGCCAGAGGCGGACCACCCCCAGATGGGGGTCAGTCAGCAATAAACGCCTAGGTCGCCTTCCCGAAGGGGAGTAAGCCCTGTGCTGCCGATGAGGTCCTGTGCTCCCCGATGGGGTCCTGGACTCCTGGGGTAGCTTTTTGTATTAGCTCTTCAAAACAGGACACCTGGCTCCTGACATCCAAATGAAAATGAAATACCTTTCAAACGACCAAACAATTTCTGTGATGAGCTTCGCTCAGAAGTGATCAGAATTTCTGCCCCACTTTGCCGGGGTTTCTGTGGAGATGTCTTGGTAGCCTTTGCCACTTTGAAGTTAGAATCTGTGTTGTGGCTGCCTGTTCCCTCTTGAGTTTATGTTGGAGAATTAACGTTTGCTGATTGGAATGTAGAGAACGCTGAATGTATTAAGGATGTGTTTTGAGTCCTCACAGGGGACCTTGCTGAGGAAAAGCATGACAGAGGAGAAATGCAGCCTGCACTTTTTATGTCCCTTTGACGTGTCTGTAAGTGAAAGGTCTTGCTTAGGAAGCATGAGTTTTACTATCTAGTCGTGAACTGCGCAGACGCAGATGCCGAGGGTGAGCTTCTTGGAGAGTTTCTCCACTGTTGGATACCTGAGCATGGAATGGCCAGCCACTGGTCAGTGTAAATGTTCCGCAGTTGTTCGATCGTTTTAAAACGTGCTAATTCCAAAGCCACTTTTTAATTCTAATAGTGGAAAGTATAGATGGGGTGAAAGATATAAATTATTGATTCCTTAACACTGTTTCTAAGCCTGCATATGAAATGAAACCTTCACCTTCTCTCTTATGAGATGGCAACTTGTTAAATCATGAAAACAACCAGAATCCAAGTAAGTAAGTGACCCTTAAGCTTCAAAGCCATAGATGAAATCTAATAGGAAAATAAACCAGGAAAAAAAAAATTAGATATAATGAAATTCTTTACTTTCCTAATCTTTTTTTTTTAAGATTTATTTATTTATTATGTATACAACATTCCTTCCATGTATGCTTGCATGCCAGAAGAGGGCACCAGATTTCATTATCGATGGCTGTGAGCCACCACGTGGTTGCTGAGAATTGAACTCAGGACCTCTGGAAGAGCAGTCAGTGCTCTTAACCTTTGAGCCATCTCTCCAGCCCCTACTTTCCTAATCTTTTATTCTTTAGAGAATGTCAAGGAAAGGCTCCCACTGAGTTATTTTATTTAAAATTATAATGAAATACTCTAGGGAACTTCCATGCAGTGAAATTTTAAAGTGATATGAACGTGGGAGTCTTAATTAGGGGATTACTTAATGAAAAGAGTTCAGTTGCCGGGTGATGGCACATTGTGGATTCCATCTGTGCTTTTCTACCTGTGCTTTTATTTTCTGGAGGAAACTTATTAATGCTTAATTTCAAGCCGAGTGACATCCCTTGAAGTCGTTCATTAGCACAGTTAGACTTAGTACCCCTTCCAGCGTGTGAGGTCCAGTCCTGTCCCTGCTCCCCGTGCCATGTCTGCTCATAGCTGGGAGACTTGAGCTCTCTGTCTTGTGGATATGGTCCAGGGCAGGTGACTTCCTTTTAGACATGATAGGCCACAAAAATAAATGACTTTTGGAGGTAAAATGAAGACACCTGAGCAGTTTGCTCGATTATGAGGTAACCTAGAATTTTATACGGAGGCTTCAAATCTAAATTTACATATGTTTGAACATTACTATAAGATGGGTTTTTATCAAAAGCGTATTTGAACTTTGACCAAATATACTTGGTATCATCACATTAGTGTTCTCTACTTATACAAGTTGAGTTAAGACCCCTAGTGGGGTACAGCAGGCTACTGACAACTCTAGTCAGTCTTTTGTATGCCCCCCCAAAGGGAGGGGTCAGGAAGAGCAAATGTCCCTGGACGTGGCTGATTCCCATGACAAAACCCCCGGCATCAGCAAATCTACCGTCCTTGCAAGCCTCCCTCTGTCTGCTGTTGTGTGTATCCCTTCCAGTGTGCACCTGTGTGGGCAAGCACACACATAGCCACCCCTACCCATTCTGTCAACGGTCATATCCCCGTTGGGGCTGAAGGCGAACAGCCTGTGGTTGGTTAGTTGTAGAAGCGGGCCTGCTCCACAGTGAGAAAAGTGTGACCCTTCGCAAGACCACAGAGGCATTCCAGGACTACAGAGAACTCAGCCCTTGGCTGCACGCAGTGATAAGTCATGTGACTTTCCTACGAAACAGGGGTATTCTCTGCTAGCTTTAAACACCACCCTGCTGCGGCTGGCTGCCGTAGGAAGTGTGGGAACAAAAAGAGCAACGGTCAAGGACAGTGAGGGACACAGGAAGAAAACTAATTTGGAATTTTGCCAAAGATGGTGTCCTTAAGATGTTGACCATGCCATTACCTTAGAATATGGTGGCAGTGGGTGTCCAGATCCTGGAGCCTGGAGTCTGCCCCCTCTCAAAGGCTTTGGAGTTGGTTGGCAGTTAACCATAGAGGGGAGCTTAGCTTGAAAAGTAGCTATAAACAAATGTGTGCTCGTCTTGTCGCCCTGGAAAGTGACAGTGGAAAAACCTGGTAGGTAGCGGACAGAGAAGGTAGTGGACAGAGACAGTGAGAATAAACACACGAGGGAAGGACTGATCGTCTGCTGGCCGCGATGACCGGCTGTGACGTCTGAATTCTGCACTGACAGCACTACAGAGCCTGATCCTAGCGCTGAGTGACCCAGGGAGACACGTTTCTCCTATCTGCCTGATTAGAGCATTGTGCAGGCTTCGAGGATCCAAGTCTAGAGCCAGGGAGGGTAGTGAAGCCCCGTGCGGTGCCTGGCACCACTCGGGAGTTTGTGACTCCCAGGCCCACTGCAGCACATGGTGTATTTTGTGTTTCCATGACCAGAGCACAAAACGTCTGTTACATGATGAGGCTGCCCTTGCTCGCTGCCACCAGAGCTGGTTTTGCGGTGTGGTTAAGGAAAACTGAAGCACACTGGGGGTGACCCCTTTGCTCAGGACAGACAGAAACTGTTCCTCTAGCACAATGCATGGCTCAGAATATTGTTTCAGCTTGAGAGAGCAGGGAGAATGTGTCTGGGGTGTTGTCATCCCAGAGTGGAGTCTTTTAGTTATTGCATGTTAAAACTCACCAGTTGGGAAACAGTTTAATCAAACTGGGTTTTCTACAGTCCAGAGGAATGTAGAAATGGACAAGATTTAATGTGGGTTGGGAGGAGATGAATAGGGACCATGAGAGAGAAAGGTCTCAGTCCGTCTGGGTTGTAAACAAAGCACATAGCCCACACTTACTTCCTGGGATACAGGACCAAGCGGCCTTTTCTTAGCTGTCTCTAGAGAGCTGCTTTCCGCAGAGACTGCAGGTTTAGAGGATGCTAGTGATGACTCTGTGACTTTCCCAATGCCCCCTGGCAAGCAAAAGGCACGGTAGGTGCCCTGCACACCTGGTGGAATTCCTTCCCCTAAAAGTAAAATCCACGGCTAGCCAGGGAAGCATGCCTTCGCGAGTGCTGGCTCCAGAGTGGCTGCAGTGGCAGCTGGCAGAATGTGAGCCATGCCTGCCCTCTCTCTCCTCCGCTGGTGCTTCCGCTGTCAGTGAAACTCAAATGAAGGCCCTTGCCCCTAGAATAAGCCTTGAGGGGGAGATGGCATGCCTGGCTTGTTGCATCATCTCCAAATGTGCACAAGAAGATTTTCGCATTAAAAAATCCCTCCTTCATCCAAACTCAGTTACTTGGTTTAACGGTAGCTAGTATGACTCGAGAAGCTGAGGTCTTTTAGGTTTCATATGGAGTAGGTGTAAAACTTGCAGGAATGCAGGCAGCCTGTGGTCTGTGGCAGTGGCCACGAGCATTTCATGTTAGGAACCCCACTCACCACACTGCAACGCTGAATAATTAATTCAGCGCAGCTTAAAGACTCCACCAAGCTACGGTCAGTCTGCTTAGGGCTGTGTTCACGTTCTTCGGTATTAGGGAGAAAGCTGGCAGTGTGCTCCTCATATCTCCCTGGGCCTTCCTTTCGTTTTTGTTTCTTGAGATTCGATTTTAGCAGGTACCTTCTGAACTGGCCTAGACAGATGCCCTCTATACAAATGCCAGCTTTCTAAAAGGAGCTAAAATAAATAGTCAGTGCTGGGCAAGTCCAAACCCAGCTGCAATCCAGTGCAAGATTTCAGCCACCTCCAGAGAAGCAAATCAGAAGAAACAAAAGCAAGGGACTTTGTTTGTTTTTTTTTGGTTTTTCGGGCTGGGAGATTTTCCTGTGCGGTGTGTGTGCTTTCTTTGAGTTCATATTTCCTTTCAGAGAGCTCTCTTGTAAATGACAAACTGTGAAATGGGTTGCCAAAAACTTGTCCTTTCTTAGATGCTTCAGACAGAACTGTGTAAATTCCCTCTGCACCCTGTCCCATCTGCTCCCTCCTCCTTCTCGTGAGAGCAAGGACCACATCCAAGGATGTAATTACCATAAGCTTGCTATTAAAGAGCCTTTCAGTCCTAGTGGTATTTGCCTTTTTCTTTCCTCTTCCCACTGTTTTTGGTTACAGAAAACTATATGGGATGTGTACACGAAGAACAAGGACCAAGGCCACGGGCGGGGTGGGGTGGGGACAGTTACCTCAAAGGCGTGGATCCGGAGGTGTGTTTAACTTAGGCTCTGGCTAGTGTTTAGCAATTTATCGTCTCCCTTTGAACTGGTACTAGTTTCGTGTGTCAGAATTTCTTTTTGCAAACCTGGTTAGGAATCCTTAGTAGCACAATTAGAAATCTGTGTCCTGTGACAGATTAATAACGACATGATGACATTTCCTCAGCGCCTTTGTTCCCAGTCGCTGTCATTCACTAGATCCAGACATTCAGTAGGAGCTCAAAAGTTGGCGGCAAGCTTCATTCTTTGGTTAAAGATAAGTTTTCCCCCTCCAAATGGGGGGCTCTCTAGACGTAAGAACGGCTTAGCAGGCCGGACTCGAGGCAGTGTGTGTTTACGTAGTGGCATGGAGAGTCCTTGGGTTTGGCCAGAGATTCCAAGTCCAGAGTAAGGCTGTATGTGAACATCTAAACCTCTCTAGACAAAACCTGATTCCAGAAGGGCTGTATAGACAGATTTTTATCATGGGAAAATTCCTGTTTCTCTGACTTGATCACACAAGCAGCTTGGCCCCTTTACATGCAGGGACAGATAGAGCATGACTCACGTCTCCTCTCATTACAGTCCATCTCTGCAATCATTTGGCAGACGGACGGGTCTGGCCCAGACAGGTCCCTGACAGTCTCTGTGGCACTTCTCACCCCCCCCCCATTTGTTTGTTTTCTCATGATTGAGAGTAAGCATGGTGACCTCATCTCTGATTTCCCTTGGGGGAGGAGCAGGGGAGAACACCTGGCCCTGCTGTAGAGGAAGGAGTGCCACAAAGTCCCCATAAAGCCACAATGGTGACTTACACTGTGATGCTTTTCTCCGATTTGTCCCCCCCCCCTTCCCTAGGATCCCCTTTGCCAAGTGAAGACCCATAGCTGTGAATTAACCCAAATGCCACTGCTAGAAGGTGGCACATCCTGCCTTGCCACACATGCCTTCTCCTTTAGTAGATCACAGGATCCAAAGTACAACAAAGAGGGAAGGGCAGGGTTCCTTGCTTAGGGATGTAATAAACAGTCTTGTTTCCATAGTAAAGTCTGGCAGGTGGGGTGGGTACCACAATATCCCCAGGGCTTGCTGAGCACACATGGGTGGATTCATAGCACAGGGGGGAAAAAGCCACACCCCAGCATTTGGAGGCACCAGGGCTAGGTGTCTAGCTCAGTGTCCTGATAAATTGGGCAACCAAATAATTCCTCCATTTGTCAGGTTTAGCCATCTGGGAGTTTGGAAGCAAGGTTGAAATGCCTCCCAAACCAGCTGCCCTTGGTGGGGGAAAAGTCCTGGGCAAGCTGTAATTGGGCAGCTGAAGAACACAAGTGTGGAAAGAGAGGCAGCCCTTCCTTTTCCAGGTAAA